AAAAGGACAAATACTGCATAATGCCATTGATATAAAACAGGACTGACATGGGGTTTGAAGGAAAACTAAGAAAAGAGGGGATAAAGAATGTACACTGCATCAAAACAGATGAGAAACAGAACTGCTTAAAAGGAATATATGATTAGGAATTATTTTCATGACAAGAGTCCAGAATAAGAGCTGCATAGTAAAGTGGACTGGGCTGGGGGTATTATACAAAAGAAAATAGTAAACAGGGGCAAATGAGTGGGGAGGAAAATTTGCAACAATGAATGAATGGAAATCCAATTTAAAAAATCCTCTTATTTGGAAAAAAAAAATAATTATTCAATGTTCTCTTGCTCTGTTCATACAACAGCTTCTTGGTCTAAGTAGAGGTTTTGCGTGAGCACAATTAAGTGTTCTGGGATTCCCATTCTTCTCGATGTTAGCCAAAATTTGTTGTGATCCACACAGTCAAATGCCTTTGCATTGTCAATGAAATATATATATATATTCTTCTGGTACTCTCTGCTTTCAGCCAAGATCCATCTGAAATTGACAATGATATTCCTAGTGCCATGGCCTCTTCTAAATTTAGCTTGTATGTCAGGCAACTCTTTGCTGACATACTGTTCTAGTTGTTTTTAGATAATCTTTAGCAAGATTTTGCTGCATGTGATATTAGTGATACTGTTCTATGATTTCCATACTCTGATCGATCACCTTTTTTTTGGAATGGGGATAAACATGGATCTCTTTCAGTCAGTTGCCCGGTGGTTGTCCTCCAGATTTCATGGCACAACCTGGTGAGCACATCCAGGGCTGCATCTGTTTGTTGACATATGTCACTTTGTATACCATCAATTCTTGGGGCCTTATTTTTTGCCAGTTCCTCCCAAGAAGCTTGAACTTCCTTCTTTATTACCATTGCTCCTTGATATAATATTGACTAGCAATTGTAAGAGTAGAGAGATCTTTGACTTGTTTCTGATCTCAAGGGGTAGCATTCCGTCTTTCTCAGTTAAACACAATTACTGTTGACTTGTTGCAAGTATCTTGCACTATATTGAGGAATATATCTTCTATTCCAGTCTTCTTTAGAAATCACATCAAAAAAGAGTATTGACCAGGGTGGCACTCATTCCTTAGAACAGCCAACCATATAAAGTCACAAGAACAACATCTGCCTAGGGATAAATATGGGAAGGGGTAAGATAGAAGCATCAAAGGTAATGAGGCTTTGGTAATGAGGGATGAAGTGGCAAGAGTGGGATTCCATTGTGGATGTTATAATTAATGCTTGAACACAAATGTGTATGAATGGTTGAGCGAAACACAAACTCGCTTTGTCAACGTTCAGTCAAATCACAATTTTCAAAGTCTTTTAAAAGATTTGAATTTTATAAAATTCTGTACATAGATAATAAGGTATGTATGATTCCAACAAGCTTGCATCCAGAGCCCCATCTTGGTCCTAATTCTTTAGAAGGAACTCTATTGGCATGATAGTTGAGCATTCCATTGTTAACAGGAAGTCTGGAAACGCAAACCTACCAGCCACCATGTATGGTGATCTGTCACCATAAAGGTTACAGCTTAGGAAACAGTTGGGTGGTTTCACCCGATCCTGTAAGGTCACTAGGACTCAGAATCACCTCACTGACACACAATAACAGCAACATCTTTAGGTATTTGGGGGATCACTGATGCCATTCTGTCCATGGACTTTCAGGCCCCTTATCTATGGCAACATAGTGTGAACAATAATAGGATCTCTTTTTCTTTGCAGAAACTACCAGAGGCATGCAGTATTGACAATGGAAGGCCATTTGTCACAAATCTGCAGCATCTGTATGTGGCGGTCACCAAGCAAGAGGTCCAAGTGGAACAAAAGCTTCCAGGCCCTGGTGAGTAGCTCCAGAGATACGGGGTCTCACTGGATTAAATTTGGGATCTAAATCTGCACTTTCCAATCTGGTGACCAAAACTTGTTAAGTCAGAACTGATTCATAGTTGGCCATCCAGCGGGTTTTCAGAGACAGTCAGTTATACAGGAGGAGACTGTCCATCTTCTCCTCTTCATAGCACAGCTGGTGGGTTTGAACTGTGTGCCTTTGGGTTGGCAGCATGACCCACGAGAGCTTTCTAACCCTAGCTATGTGCGGTTAATTGAATTGAAATGAATCAAACCTTATTTTGTTCATTTTTAGACTATTTCAGAGGTGATGAGGATGGCACAGGGTAAGACAGGGTTAAGATGTGCTGTTCACACAGTCACTGTGAGCCGTACTCGTCTCAACAGCACACAGCATTTGCACTAACCACATTTCAAATGCTCAGTAGCTAAATGAAGGTAGTGAATGGTATGAAATGGATAGTGTAGATTTAAGACGTTTCCATCATTACAGAATATTATAGTGGACAACAGGAGTCTGGGTGCTTATGAGGATTAGCCAAAGAACCAGGGGTAAAATGACGTTAGACCTTCTGAGACATGTCAGAGAATGTGGAGAGGAGCAGGGAGCTACTGTGAGTCAAGGAAATGCTCATTCTACCTGGTCAAAGTGAGGGTAAGGAATCTTTTTTTAGAAATGGTGAGTTTAGATCCTTTTCTGGTTCATAAACATGATGATTAGGACTTCATACTTTTGTATGACATGTGCCAGCCTTTCAACCTTGTTATGACATAGGCACACTGCCCATCTGACGTGAAAAAAAAAGGTGATGTTAGTGAACACTTACTTCCTTGAGAAATAAGACTTTCAGAAAATCAGCTGTAAGGTAGACCCTGGGATTGCTTCTGTTTATATTTTAATACAAGCCACTGTGGCTGCTCCCATCTGCTGATAGATCTGAAGACTTGGCAGTGTCACCCGGTAAGAAGGCATTTATCACTGTCTCCTCTCACGTTTCTGATTTTAGGAGATCCTCAGACATCAAGCAGCACTTCCCCACAGAGAACTGACAGCCACCTGGACCAGCCAGAAGAGCCAGGTTCGTCAGCACCATCTCTCTCGGTGCCCGAGTCGGAGCCTACGGTGAGTTGTGAGTGGTTTATGGATGGCATTCTAAGAGCTGGAAGAGCTGCATCTGTAGCCTCTCCGCCACTGATCCCCGGAATTGATAGCTAGTTGACTTTCCCCAACAATATTGAGGGCTATTTTGTGGCTTCCAAATTAAGGATGGCTAGGTGGGGAGTAGTGGTCTTTCACATCTTCCTTTGGTGTAACTTCTCTTCAACTCTGTGCCAAATGGTGAATCTTGGCTCCCTTCCTACATGCTCTGGCATGAAGGTCTGTGATGTTGTCTGTGAGAGATATATGTTCTCCTGTATAAAGATTACATTAACTACCGAAAGTAGACTTAGAGACACCTGTGCCAGCCACCTCAGGGAGGCCTCACCCTCACCAGCATCCCGGGGAGGAGTGAAGTTCCTTTCCTAGATTAAGTGGAACTATTTGAAACCCTGTTAACTTGGGCATTTTTGGTTTGTTTGTTTTTTTTTTTTTAATTCCTAGGGTACTTCAGGCTGTACACAGAGACCTCAACTGTCAAAGGTCAAGAGGAAGAAGCTAAGAGGGCTCTTCAGTTAGCCAGTCACTACCTCACTGCTAAAGATGACTGGGCGAATAGCTTCCTCGCATCACCTTTGAAGGAGCTCATATGGCAGCGATACCTCTGCAACAGAGGAGTAGTCAGGAGCCCCGTTAAAAAGGGGGAGATGACCAAAGTTCATGATAACAAGCCAGATGAATGGGGAACGTTAACCGAGGAGATCTTGGCTCTAACCTGTCACACACTGGTTTTGCTTCTCTGAATTGAAGCCACTTGTGTTGGGGGACATTCTCTAGGCGCATATTCCTTCCACGTACATTAAGTATATGGCAGGTCTGTTAGCCAGAGGCACGTACACGCTTCAGAAGCCTTGTCTACCTTTCTTAAGATGTCCTGGCCAGTCCCACATCCTCCTCAGAAACCCATTCTTCTCTGTTTCGCATGGAATTAAAAAGCCTTCACACTCCACTGCTTTTGAGACAATTCATTCTCTTGAGTCCCACATCATTGCCTACAGTTTTGTGACTATCTACATCACCAAGGGTGGATAAAGTCTCCATCCTCAATGTAGTCCTTCAGATTCTTTTTTATGCTTCTGTGCTGGAGCCTGAGCTGAACCTCCAATCTAGGACGCTGATCCAGGGAACTATTTTCATGGTGAGTATAAGACAACAAACGGCTGCTCTGCTTCTTTACTCAACTTGTGTTTTCCTGTCTGTTTCCAAGGCATAAACAATAGGGTTAAACTACAACACAGTGTTGACATCAGAAAGCACGTTGAGCACCAGCATTCACCAGCATTCACTCTTCACCCCACTTCTAATAACATAGTCTCTAGAAGAACTGGGAAAGGTAGGATGACAGGGAAATGATCAGAGTTCTCTGGGATGAGTTGGCCTCCACCTCTGATGGTCCAGAGCCGGAGAAAACACGAAGGCTGAGTGAGCTCAGCAGTGTCTCAGGCAAGGAGACCAATGTGCAAGCTTTGGCAGGCAGGCTTGGTTAGGGTTTTTGGCCTTCTCGGTTCAGTTTTCCATTTAGGTAAGACTGACTGAAACTTTATGCTGGAAGGAAATGAAAAGAGGCAGAAAAGAAAGTAGAACTCAGTGTGTGCTGGGGAGTCTGAAGTTGAGATGTTGGGAAGTGTTAAGTAGAAGAAAGGGTCAGGAACAGAAGAGTAGGGGCTTTTGCTGGTTTATTTCTTTATTGTGATGGTCAGATGCCTCCTCATCCCTGTGTTCTCTCTAGCTGAGACTAGGGTCCCTGAATGGTACAAATGGCTAAGCACTCGACTAACCAGACAGTTAGCTGTTTTAGTCCTCCCAGAGATGCCTTGAAAGACCTGGTGATCTAGTGGAAGGTCTCAGCTACCGAAAACCCTGTGTAGCCCAGCTCCGCTCTCACATGCGTTGGAGCTTGGTGAGTCAGAGCTAACTTAGAGCAAATGAGTTTTGAGGTTCCAGCTAGGACTGCTATTCCATTCTAATGGTAAATTATGGGAGAGAACAATCCAAGCAACATAATGTATGTAGGCATTAACAAAAGCAGCAGTGAGGGGAGCTCTGGTGGCCTAGTGGCAAGGAGCTGCAACTACAATCCCAGAGGCACACGGTTCGAATCCACCAGATGCTCTGCCGGGGAAGGAGGGACAATCTCCTCCTGTACAGTCAGATCTGATTTGACGGTACATGCACACAAAAATAATAAAATAAAATAAAATTTAAAAAAAAAGCAGCAGTGATAAAAAACAACTCCGATTTACTGAGCGGCTACTATTGGCAGGATATGGACATTGTATCCACAAAGTGTTTTGTGGAGAAGATAGAACCCCACTAGCAAATTGAGTCCTGGAATGATTAAACAACTTATCGAAGATCCCACAGCTCATGTTGTTATTAGGTGCCGTCAAGTCAAGTATGACTCATGGTGACCCTGCGAATAACAGATCTGAGCCCGACCCTATCCTGTGCCATCTTCACAATCTCTGACACCCTCTAGCCGTTCTACAGTCACTGTGTCTCAGTCCACCTGGTTGAGGGTCTTCCTCTCCTTCATTGTCCCTCCACCTTCCCAAGCATGAGGTCCCTCTCCAAGGAATAACCTCTCCTAGCAACATGACCAAACTTTGTGAGACGAAACTGCATGGTCTTTGCCTCCAAGGAGCACTCTGGCAGCACCTTCTCCGAGACATAGCTGTTTGCTCTTTAGTGACAGCAAAGATTTGAACCCATGCCGCCATGTTCATATATTATTCTCTATTATTACATTAATTAAGAAATATGTTATTAGATTATAGATTATGCTCTACATTATATTGGAAAACCTTTTCCAAGGAGGATGTTAGATCCTGCCTTCTTACACCTCTGTCCAGTGATCATCTTGTCAGTAGAAAGCTCGCTGCTCGTCAGGGCCAGGGGTGTTTGGGGTGGCCAGGACTCACGTCCTTTTCCCTCTGTTGCCCCGAGTAGAGTCTGAGAGCCCCACCAGCACTCTGTCAGTTGTTGTGAGTGACATTTCTCTAGTTCCCGACCACAGTGTCCCAGGATATCCTCCACAGTAGAACGGAAGGGAATTGTGAACTAGGTAAAAACCTGCTAGCAGGTGACCGATGGCAAAACTGACTGAGCCAGATCCGAGTGTATGTGGACCTGAGTCCACACAGGGGAGGTGTCCCCTGCAAGCTCACCCTAGAGGCTCCCTCCACCCGGAGAGGATGATCTCAAGAATAGCATTTTCATTCTAGGGGATGAGAAATCTGTGAATTCTCTGAACTTGTATGTAAAATTATGAGTGCATAACTACCTCCCCCTCCCCACCCCATAAACGGAAATGTGGCCTTTAAAACTGTTAAGTATCGGAGCTCCGGGGGCCTAGTAGCAAGAAGCTGTGTTGCAATCCTGAATGTGTGCAGTTCGAATCCACTGGAGAAGGATGGGCAGCGTCTTCCTGTGCCAGTCGGATCTGACTCAACGGTTAACAATAAGAAAATTTAAAAATACACATGGGGTCAGAATCAATGAGACAACGATGATTTTTTTTTTTTTTTTTTTTTAAAAAAGCAAAACAAGTATGTGCCTGGAACTACTGTGGCTCTTTGGCCACAAACTCTCGGCCGCTAACTGAAAGGTCGATGGTTCAAGCCCACCCATCAGTCACTGCCTGGGAAAGCGATGTGGCAGTAAATGTCCAGAAAGACTCCCGCCTTGGACGACCCTACAGGGCGGTTCTGTCCTAAAGGGTCCCAGTGAGTCGGAGCCCACTTGACAGCAGGGGTTTTTGCTTTTCTTTGGAGAAGACGCCCACTGACCTGCCTCCTGCCGCCTGTGTTCCCTGGCTGCCTCAGATACATTGCTTCCCGAACCCCTGCCTTTGGCATGCTTGTCCTGAAGCCTCATTCCCCACAGCTGGGGTCAGGGGGGCTGGGAATCGTCCATCCTAGGGCAACTCCAGGGAAATCCCGGCCTTGACAAATCGGCCAGCCAGGCGAGGTTCCAGCCCTGCCCCCTGGCTCGGGCCCCTCCCCAAGGTCCCGAGCTTGGCCCTGCCCCCACTCCGCGTGCACATAAAAGGGTCGAATTCTCGTGGCTGCTCCATAAATTTTATTCCGTAAATATTAGTTTTCCTTGTGTTTAATAAAGCAGTGGCCCACCTCCCCGCCTACCCGCCCGCTCCCCGGGGCCGGGGCTGGGGCCAGGGCTGGCTGGTGGGAGAAGGGACTCTTTCAATTGCTTTGGAGTATTTTTAGAAAAAAAAATAATATAAGGTGGTTTACAGGAGCAAGCCAGCAAACCAGGAGCAGGGCTAGGACCTCGAGGAAGTGCCTGCAGCGCCGAATCTAAAAAGTAGAGAAATAGCGCCACCTAGGCTGCAAGGCCCACCTGGCCCCGCGGCCGTCGCGCCCTCCCCGGGCGGCTGGACGGGCGAAGGCGGCTGCAGGAGAAACCTCCATCCCTCAGCCCGTGGATGGGGCCGCACCCCCTTCCCGCCCACCCCACCGAGGGCTGTCCCTGCACCCCTTACAGACCGAGCGGGAGCGCTTGTGAGGTGCCCTCTGGTCCATTGTGGCCCATTGTTGTTGTTAAGTGCCCTCGAGTCTTTGGCAATTCATAGTGACCCTATGAACGAAAGACCTGAGCGCTTGTATAACTTTCATCCTTTCTCCAGGTGCATAGGGTTTCCAGAAGCAAGCTATTTCAGAAGTGGATGCCATTCCTCCTTCCAAGCTTGTTTTAATTGGAGAGCTCCATCAACACTGTCCACTTTGGGTAACTGTCATCGCATTTGACACATCAGTGTCACAGTGTTCAGCTTCACAGCAACCATGAGCTACCTCTGTACAGCAAGTGGACAGACCAGGGCTGTATGACCCATTGTGACCTTATTAGCAGCGGATCTTTGCCCTATTCTGTACCATCCTCGTGAAAGGCCTGGGTCAGTGGTCCCGGAAAATCCAACTAGGACCATTCTTTTTTTTTTTTTTTTTTCTCCAGGCACCAATCAGTTAGTCTCTCAGAGACTGAAGAGTATTTCCCAGAGGGCAATGCTTCCTGTCTGGTCTTCCCACCAAGTCCTTAGAGGCAGCCCTGGGATCCAAGGGTGAAGTGAGATCTGTGCTCCTGGGCCTGCTTAGGTAAAAAAAAGAGCCTAACCTGGTCAGACCGGGAGCCTACTGGTCAGCCTGACAGAGTCCTCTTGCAGTAAAAATCCTTGCATCTCCTGAGTGCTCTTGGAATCAAAGATGATGAAGGTTCGTCTCACATACTTTGGGCATGTTGCTAGAAGTTATTCCTTGGACATGGATATCATTCTTGGGAAAGTAGAGGGGCAGCAAAAGAGAGGAAGACTCTCAACCACGTGGATTGACAGGGTGACTGCAGCAATGGGCTTGAGGGTGTCAGACATTGTGAAGATGACACAGGATAGAAGAGGGTTCAGACCTGTTGTTTATTGGGATGCTGTGAGTCATACTGGGCTCAATGACACCTAACAACAACAATGGACATTTTAGGGAATGCAGCTGGCTTAGTAGTAAAAACTT